TATTGCCAAGGATTGTGTCTTGGTTTACAAAACAAAGAAATACCGGCAGGCCCCGAGTTCCGAATGGGCTCCTTTCCTAGGTGTGTCTTTTAAGTTGAATTTGTAGGAAGTCAGAACAGGTACATATGCTTCTTATTTACTCTTACTTTAGCGCAAGAAAAAAGAGTTCTGGTAGTGCAGTGGTTAAGGCATTTGGCTGCTCACTAAAAGATTGATGGTTCAAACCCACCAGGTGCTCCACTGAAGAAAGATGAGGCAGTCTGCTTCTGTAAAAATTTATAGCCTTGGAAATACAATGGGGGTCATTATGAGTCAGACTCAACTTGATAGCAGTGAGTTTGCTGGGGTTATTTTAGTGCAAGAAGGCTCCAAGCCTTTTCAATGATTTAAAAGCTGATACATTCAGCAAATGAAAGTGATTGTTAAGAATTTGTTGCAAATAAGGGTTGTTTCAGTTGTTTCACAGTGAGGACAAATTTAAGTAACATTAAATGGCAAGTTGTAAGCTGGACATTCATAACCGTGGGGACTGCCTGTACAGAGAAAAGGATGGATTTCAATCATCTGAACAAGAGTTAAACAAACAACAAAAAAACACTCACTGCCGTAGAGTTGGATCCGACTCATAGCGACTCTTCCTTGGGTTTCCAAGGCAGTATCACTACAGAAGTAGATTGCCCAACCTTCCTTCCGAGGAGTGGCTGGTGGGTTTGAACCGCCAGCCTTCTGGTTAGCAGTCAAAGATGCCAAACACATCCACGAGAACAGAGAATATGCAGAATATAAATAACCAAGCTGTGCCTAGTAGAAGTCAGGTCAACAGTGCAGCTCATGAGCTGCCTGAGGGGAAAAAAAGGAGGTGGGGATGCAGAGTCATCCCGCCCTGGACATCAGGTGGCACTGCTGAGCCCAAGACTGCTTAGCCCTGGTGATGCAGAGTTTAAGTACTCAGCTAATGAACCTGAAGGTTAGTGGTTCAAACTCACCATTTGCTCCACAGGAGAAAGATAACGGAGTCTGCTTCTGTAAAGATTTACAGCTTTGGAAATCCTACAGGGCAGTTCTACTGTGTAATGTAACACATGAGTTCATCTGTCCCATGTACTCTGTCTGATAGGGTCACTATGAGTCAGAATCAACTCAATATCAATGAGTTTGGTTTCGGTTAGTGTAGGCAATAGGTCCCTCCAAAAAAACCAAACTCACTGCTGCTTAGTCAGGTCCAACTCATAGCAACTCCTCCTTGGGTTTCCAAGGCAGTATCTCTGTGGAAGTAGATTGCCTAATCTTCCTTCTGAGGAGTGGCTGGTGGGTTTGAACCATCAGCCTTCTCATTAGCAGTCAAATGCCTTAGGCACTGCACCACCAGAATTCCCTACAGGTCCCTAGGTGGTATAAATAGTTTGTACTCCACTACTAACCAATGACTTGTTCATTGCAAACACCTTTTTTCAACAACACAAACGGAGGCTGTACATGTGGACTTCA